TTAAAAATAAAATGTTTATCTTCTATATTCTCTGATGACGTAGGCTTGGCAGCTGAGATTTAGTCACCTGGTTGGCTATGGTGCTAAATATTACTCCTACCTCATGTCCGGGGCGGTTGCCTCGATGGTGTGGAGGCAGTGCTTTCTACAGGACCCCTTCAGCAGGTCAGTGTGGAGTTTTCAACTCCAACTCCTGACCATGTAGGACAGCTTTGTCATGCATGTTTTGCTATTTTGTCATGGATGCTGAGTGCACAGATAATGGTACTCATGGTGACTGGGAATTCTTGTTTTTTTTATTTTTGTTCGATTTACATTTAATAAGTGTAAAATATTTTCTATTTTATAGTCTGTTCACTTTCAAAACATAAAATATCTGTAGTTGTACTGTATGTCTGGTCTAACTAAAAAGGAGACTGTGTCATTTGCAGAGCGATGGGAGAGCGTTACCGCAGAGATGCTCGCTCATGGAGGCAGTAAAGAGCCTATGCTGATGGTCCAAGGTAAAAGCAACACTTGTAATAAAATTTTCTGTAAGACCTCAATAACGGTAAATATTCAGATTCTTATTTTTGATCCTCGGGAATGCTACAGAAAACCCCTACCATTGAAGACTTTGTTGATGCACTAGTGTTAGACCTTGATGCAAATCCACATAGGTAGGTACACATTCACTTTGTTGAAGAAATGCACAAACACAAGTTTCATTTTGTGGTTGTTTATTTACCTATACAAAAGACCATAACTCAAGCCATGGTGGGATCTGAAAAAGAGATGAATAAACATTCAATACAGGAGACCAGTAGACGAAACAACATTAGCTGACAAAAGACATCAAATTTGAAAATGAGCTGTTATGAGTTGATAATCACCATGTTATGCCTCCTTCTCTGGAGCTGCCTCATCTGTGCCCTTGGTGTTTCTGGTGTAGATCACTTGAGCTCTGTGTTTGGACACCAGCTTGATCAGACCTAACGATGAGAAACGCAAAATGCCACTCCATCATGGATTCAAAATAAAACTCAAGACATCTCTGAATGAGTTAACCTAAAAAAAAAAAGTTTCTGGAAGCCCTGCCATATGTGATGTCACATTTAGTACATTGTGCTGAAAACAACTTCAGCACACTGAACTTCTCTGATAGTAGGTGCTGATTTGAAGAGGTTTATCGAAGTGATATTTTTGCAAAGATAATCTTGCTTTAAAACATACCCTGTCCCTCTTATTTTTACTTAATTAAACAAAATTACACAAGCATACAGATGAAAGATGTTCAAGTTATGGCAAATATGTATAGATTATACAATC